TCTCTCTCCCTCTCTCTGTCAAGCTACACATGCTTCTCATGAGATATCAGTGATCCTGACCCCTTCTGCTCTCTGGACCTGCCTGATCCATCCTGATGCCCTACTTCTGCTTAGAGCTTTGCTCACCTGAAAATCACTCACTGCTGCTGAGGATGTTCCACATGGACAGCCTAAAGATCAATGAGATTACTGTGGATGGTCCTACTTAGAAACCATCAAGATGGCTGTGGATGTTCTTTCAGCAATTACTAAGAACAATTTACACTCAAGTCGCCATCACTGAACAGTTGATAACTTCAGTTTGATACAAGAAACGTAAACTTCAAGCTCTAGTAATACTCATACTCAACTTCCTACACTTTAACACACGTAGCACTGCTTTATAGTATTTATAGACTTTATAGTACACAGTTATAGAAGGGAATTATTTATAATCGCTCTATCTGGTGACACCCAGATGAGGAGGGTTCCCTTTTTCTTCCTCATGTCATCTCCGGGAGTGTTTCCTTCCCACTCTTGTCCCTGGATTGCTCATTAGGGATAAATTTAAATTAAAATTTTATATCCAGATTTCTGTAAAGCTGCATTGTGACAATGCCCATTGTTAAAAGCACTATACAAATAAAACTGAATTGAATTGAATATAACATTAAGCATCAGGAACACAAAACTCTGAAACGCAGATTTAGATTTCAGGAGCACAGTAAATAAGCGCCACCTCTTCGTCCACACAGTGGAGATGTCAGTTTGAGTTGCAGCTCAGGGGTCTGTTGCAGTTTTTAGAGATTTCACTTCTCCTGAACTCCACATGAGCAGCATGCAGCAGGAAGTCAGTCTGTTTTTAAACTCGTCTCTGAGGGACGCTGAGGTCATTTCCTGCTTTCTGTATTTGTCTCTGTCTCTTTTTTAAACTTATCTCAGAGGACATCAAGATCATTTACTGGACTCATAACTGTCTCTCTCTCTGTCTGTCTCTATGTGTCTCTCTCTCACTCTTTCTGTCTGTCTCTTTCTCACTCTCTGTGTGTCTCTTTCTCTCGAGTGAGGAATGAAGGCTTTAGGGAGTTGACCCTACACACACCCACATACATACACACAGACACACCCACACACATATAAACACACACCCACACACACACACACACAGCAGTTGTCCTCTTTCCCGTATCTCCACAGAAACCAGATATCAGATATCTCTCCATTTTAAGAGACTGAGAGAGGGCTGGTGAATTGTTGAAATCTTTAATAACAAACATGAAACATTCCACAAAAACACACACACACACACACACACCCACACCCACCAAGCATATCAGAGGAAACTCCCTCTTCCTAAAACAATGAGACTGGAATTCTGGTGTGTATGTGTGTGTGTGTGTGTGTGTGTGTTTATCATATA